AATAATTGACTACTGGGAATGTATGGCAGCTTACAAATTATAATTAACCTTGCACATAATTTCTTTAGATACATGGGACACTAAGGATGCTTTGTCTTTGCATCTCAGTGCCTAGAAAGGACAGTTTTGTAATAAATGACTGCCACTCAGTCTTGCATTCATCCGAAGCTGAATGTCTCATATATTCACAGTGCTCAACAGTTATTTATTTGCTTTGTTTGCACAGTGTAATAAATGTGACAGAATTTTAAAAGCCTGGAAATTGGTACCAAACAAGAAAATGAATTGTTACATTTATATGGTACCCCAAAGTTCATAAAATGCCAACATACACATGACTTTCAGCTTTGGGCACACCAAAATGTAAATGTGTATCTCTCCTGTGCCCACAAGAAGGAATATACCAGGGGCTGGAGAGATGGCTCAGCTGTTAAGAGCACTGACTGCTCTTCCAGAGAATCTGAGTTCAAGTCCCAGCAACCACAAGCATCTGTAATGAGATCTGGTGCCCTCTTCTGGCATGCAGGCATAAATGCAGGCAGAACACTGTATACATGATAAATAAATAAATCTTCATTTAAAGAAAGAATATACCATATATAGATAACAAATACTGATATATTCATTCAGCAGGCATTTAACCTCACTGTGTTCCAGGGCTAGCTTCAAATGTCGAGGCTCAAGTGGTCCTGCTGCTTGCTTCAGCTGCCTGAACTCAGAGCATATGCTACCACACCCAGCTTGTTAACTATTTATACTATTTCTCATTGTAGGCCAAGAATACAAGGAGAATTTTGTAGAGACCATGCCTATTTTGTAGGCAGTTTTATTTCTGTAGGAAATATGTAATGTTTTGCACTCCTGTAGTACTTTATGGCTAAGAAAGTACACACAGCCATAACATTTTCCTCTATTACCTGCGCAAATGTTCTTGTATTAGCTTGCCCTCATCACTTGACTGATTCAATTAAGCATTATCTCATTCCTTGTAAATAAATAGTGTAGAATGTAAACATTCTTATTTCGTGGCAGAGTTACTCAAGACAATTTATCTTGTATTTCATGTAAACACAAAACCTAACACATAGGAGGTAGTTAATATTCATTCATTCATGCACATAGAGCTATTGACAGCTGCATACTGTGCTCTTCTTTTAAAATGTTCCACTTTCTTATCCCTGGTGATGAGCATGGTATTTTGCAATAGGGGAGTCACTTGTATTTGTGGCATATTTTGTAATTTAAAATCAGTTTCCATGTGTTTTCTTTTTTGCTATCTGGTATAATGTATTTTACTGAAAATCACCAAAGCAATAGAAACACATTGGCCCTAAGTATATAGATTATGCTTCATTCAAGCCATATTATATTTATATTTTTAACAAAGCATGTTTTTACTCATTATTCCTACAGCAATCTTTGTACCCATAGCACACAGGCCAATAGAATGCATGTACTAGGTAATATGCATTCATTCAACACTGACTTACAAGTTTTAGTGTGCTTTATGGTTTACAAAGTGTATTTATTTACTCATTTTTATGTACCTGGTAACATCTTCATGTTACCTGGAAGTGACCACAGTTAAGCATCACATCCTTAGTGCTCAGCACAAAGATAGGCATAGAGAAGGAAAGTACTGTTATTCAGACATGTTCCATGGCATTTATATGAGGGCTTGGTCAAGTCCAGGCAACCGGCCAGTGAGGGATTCTTACCTTCTGAAAAGGTAAGAGAATATGCGACTGAGACCAACCGCCCACAAAGCTTCAGGTATTTACAGTCTGACTCCTTACAGGAAAAACTCAAATTACATTTTCAAATGTTCAGTATGCATGGCTGCCAATGTGCTTTGAGTATGTTACTTTTTTCTCCTGTGTTTGTATCAGTCATTTAAGTTCTCTCTTAAAGGGGGAGGAGGGGTAGGAGAAACATGAAGCCTGTTAAACAGTCCCAAATTCTCTCATCATTAATCCTAAAGGTGGGTGTTAAACCCAGGAGTAGGTTCACTGTCCTGCACCAAATTACTTGGCCACCACAAAGAGCAGGGAATTCAAACTTCAGTCTGTCCCAAACCTAATCACTGCTATCATTAATAGAAATCCATTTCCTGCTCACCTAAGCCCAAAGAAGGAAGGTAATGCTGGCTGGTCCTTCTCAGAAGGTCGGCACATTTGCATATTGCTTGTCTAATTCTTCTCATTGGTCTGGAGTAGGTCTTCATATTTTCTCTAGATAGCCTGATACTGTTCTCCCCTAACAGTCTGATGCTTTCCTTTCTCATAGCCTAGGGCTTCTGAGTTATGGAGGATGGAAGTACAGTATCTGTATGGATGCTTGCTTCTAGGGGAATATCAAAAGTCAGACTAGATACCACTGGCTGGATTTTGTTCTCTCTCTCAAGTGGAGCAGATGTGAAGAGAAATGGAAGTTTTAAAACATCAAAAATTTAACAAATGGCTAAATCAAGTTTAAAACAGACTAAAGATTGACCCCTGTACAATACTGTCATTCTAAAAGCTTGTTTCTTTATAGTAAATGACACCATTGAAAAGTACATCTCAAGCAAATCTGGCTTAAATGGAAATCTAAGAAACAGAGGGAGTGCTGATAATGTCCCAGGAAAAGGGGGATCTCATCTTCAGATTTCCCCTGGTCTTGGGGTTCTATCCCCCCAGAGTTTTAGGCCATAGGCCTCCAATTTCTAGCCTTTATCTCTTAGACCTTCTGTCCATATAGGCTTGAGTCCTTAGATCTTGGGCTTGGACTTAGCTTAGGTTTTGTGTCTTATGACACAGGTCTCAGTTCTTAGACTTCACGTGAGTTCTGTAGAAGCAGCCCCTCTCTTTGAGTTATGAGCATTCTGTCCAGCCAGCCAGCTCATACAGGCCTTCTGTGTATCTTGGTCTTCAAGTCAAGTCACAAAACATGTCTTCCACTTTGAGCCTTTTCATGTGGTCATTTCAGTTCTACTTCCATCCTGACGGGAGTGCTGTCAGATTATTTCGCATGTCAGTCTGGCATGAAGAACAGCCACTGGCAACATTCAGCACCTATTGGGAAGGGGCTAAGAAGACTCTCTGTGACACATGACACACACATACACAAAGAAATACCCAAGAAAAGATTAGAGTAAGGGAGGTAGACAGAGACTGAAATGCTCAGAGTGAGTAGTAGAAAGGGGAATGTTAAAGAGAAAGAAACCCAAGTAAATACAAAGCAATGGATTAATGCAGAGATCACAAATACCAAAAAGACACAGCTACAAAGGAAAAAAGAGAAAACAGCCCAAAAAAAGCAGAAAGCAGATGCAATAAAGAGAACCATGTGCTAAGAATGTAACAGCAGAAAGAAAAATGTGAAATGTTACGTCAAAGGGCTGACAAACATCACACCGAAAGTGCATACAGCGTGTGACCAAAAGGGGGCATGAGAGGCAGAAAGAGTGAAAGAAGAGCTAACAGAAATGGCAACCAGATAGAAAAAAAGAGCCATATCTAACCAAAACAAGGCACAGATCACACAGGCACCAGAGGTGAAAACAAGACAAAACTCTACAAGGAAAAAGTTAGCAGAGAAATTAGCATGGAAATAAGTAAGATACACTGTAGATTAGAGGAGGAAAAGACACACAAGGAAGACACAGACATCAAAGCAAGGAAGAAAGAGATACACAGCAAGGAAGAAAGACATACGCGGCAAGGAAGAAAGACATACACGGCAAGAGAGAAAGACATACACGGCAAGGAAGAAAGACATACACGGCAAGGGAGAAAGACATACATGGCAAGGAAGAAAGACATACACAGAAGAAAGACATACACGGCAAGGAAGAAAGACATACACGGCAAGAGAGAAAGACATGCACGGCAAGGAAGAAAGACATACACGGCAAGGGAGAAAGACATACATGGCAAGGAAGAAAGACATACACGGCAAGGGAGAAAGAGATACACGGCAAGGAAGAAAGAGATACACAGCAAGAAAGACATACACGGCAAGAGAGAAAGACATGCACGGCAAGGAAGAAAGACATACACGGCAAGGAAGAAAGACATGTAAGGCAAGGAAGAAACATACAAAGCAAGAAAGAAACACAAAGCAAGGAAGAAACACATACAAAACAAGGAAGAAATGATTACATCAAAGAAAAACTAGACACACAAAGCTAGGAAGAAAGACACATAAAGCAAGGAAGAAATGGATACATCAAAAAATTAAGACACACAAAGCTAGGAAGAAATAGATATAATGAATAAGAATTAGACACATAAAGCAAGGAAGAAACATGCATAGAACAATGAGGAAATAGACATACAACACAATGCACACTTAAAATTGAAGGAAGCAAGCAAAGTTCAACAATAAGAGGGTAAGGAAAAAAAAAAAAACATGGCAGGGAAGGGGAAGAAAAAGTGCCATTAGTATACAGTAATGACTCCCATACCGTTACTACCTATACTACTCCTTATAATAGTACATCACAGTCCCCTACTATACTAAGGCAGATGCTCTTCTGATTAAATGCATACTTTTTAGCTTAGGGATTCCTTAACATGGAACCAAACAAGCATGTCAACTGTGCTCACTGCAGAATGTTTGTACTCACTTAACTTTGTACCAATTGACCTTATTATGCAACTCCAGGGTATACGTTTTACTTGCCAGGCACTATGTATGTTAAGCACTTTCCATTCATGATTTCACTTGACCTTCACAAACAGACAAGTCTTACCAGAGAGTACACTGGCAAAGGTCATACAACTAAGGAGCAGGAAATTTACACACAGGATGAAGACCTCTTAACATTCTGTTACATAGATTTACTGATTTCCATAAGTGCCAGCGTCACAAGTGACTGCATATTTTAATTGTTAGCTTCACTTTCCCTGTCATTTTATGAAAATGTGCTTGGTTTTTATATCCTTCACAATTATAATGTCTGCTTCAGAAACTTCGGTTTCTTTTTACATGAAATCTTAACTGTTAAATTCTCACAGATGGAGCAGAAAACAAATCCTTCCAGCAGAAAACAAACTACTTAAGGCTTTCCTCTATTTAAGCCTCTAAGAATGGCAGAGCACTAAGCCAAAAATAAGACAACTAGAGGCTGTATTCCTGTGTGATGCCAACTGTTGAGCAGATAGACTTTGAGTTGCTGCTGTGAACCCAGTTGATAATGTGGAAGCCTGATCATCCTCCGTCATGTATTTGGCCCTACTTCACAGCATCACATTAGACCACCACACTCCACCCAGCACCACCTTATGCCAATCCTCAGAGGACTGCGGTGCTGGCAGCTTACTTCATTCTGTTGTGGTGCTAAGATGCAGACATGTTGGTCCTTGGCTCTTAAAGCTGGCTTCCTTTCGTGATCCTGCAGAAGACCCAGCTTTCTGTACTGCTTTGGGGAAGGATGATGGATGACCTGGTAGATGGAGCTACAAAGAACAAAAGAAGCTGTGTGAATGTCAGGAAAGAAGTACTAGAGGGTCCTGGTTCTTTCAATTGTGCCTGCTAATAGATACTTCTGTATCATTTTCAGCCAGGTTTCCATTCGTAGTTAGAGACATTCGTCATCATTAATGTTAGCAGAAAAAGATAAGTTACTCACTGGATATTCTACCCCATGGGTAGCACCATGAATCTCGAAGCGTTCAAACAGCTGGTAAGGTTCTCCCCCAGAGCTTCCAGGGACTTTGAGAACCAGGTGAAACAGAATGACTTGCTCATGAAGTCAGTGCCACTACTGTGCAGCAGGGTTTCTCCTAGAAGAAAAAGAACCATATGAAGAGCTAAGTTACAGTTCTCTACTACACTGTGCAGCTCTACCCTACACAACCACCTTCAGTCTTACAGCAAGATGCTTCCTTGTTAGTCAGGAAGCACTTCTTATCAAAACAGACACAGGAAAATGATAAATATAACTCAAGTATGGGGCTGGAAAGATGACTCATCAGTTAAGAGCACTGGCTGCCCTTCCATAGATCCTGAGTTCAATTCCCAGCAACCACATGGTGGCTCACAACCAACTGTAATACAATCTGGTGCCCTCTTCTGGCATGACGGTGTACATGCAGACAGAACACTCATACATTAAAAAAAAACAAAAACAAAAACTCAAAACATAACTCAAGTAAAAGACTGACTACATTGGAAAGCAAGACCAAAATTAAAATTATTTTTCACACTCAGGGTTAGGGTTCAATTCCCATCAACTACATGGTGGCTCCCAACCAACCATCTATAATGGGATCTGGTGCCCTCTTCTGGTGTGCAGGTGCACAGGCTGACAGCACGCATGCATGCATGCATACATACATACATACATACATAAAATAAAAGCTGACAAAAATGAAAAACAAGATCAAAATTAAAATTACTTATTGCACTATCCCATAAAACTTACCTATTGTGATGTAGGGTGGCTATCTTTGACTTTGTTGGGTTCAGCAAAGGGTCTCACTAAAATCTCCAGGGCTAGGGCTATTGTCCAATGGTGGTGAGCTATTCCCTTGGAGGATCCTCATGCCCCATCTCCACCTAGGGATCGTCAAAGGGAACAGGTCACCAGCACTGGAAAGCAACAAGCCCATACTTCTTGGGGAAGATCTGGAAAAGAGGTGAAAGAAAAATTATTGAAATGAAGTACATTGAGAAATTTGCTTCATTATGTAGTATCCAACAGTTGTGTTAATCCTGTAGACTTTTTGTTGGTGGTGGTATGGCTTGGAGGGTAGACCCTTACAGATTTGTACTTTATGTTGTTACGGCTATCGACTTAAGTGATATGAGAATTGCTCCCTCTGAGCTCCTTTCTGCCTTTATTCTCTATTGTCTACCCATGAGTAATCCTTTATATTATAGATTGTTTAAACTCTTGTACATTCAAATACACCAGGAATAAAGGAGTTAAACAAAATAGAGTTGAAACCAGTGCAAGGAGAAGCCACGATTTCTCAACCAAGTGGACTATGAAGCCACTTAGAAAAACTCTATCCAGATTCCGAGCTCTGTAAGAATCCTCCAGCGTGTTGCCCCTGACTGCTTTGAGAAATGTTATTTTAAAAGCTACATTAATCAAAGTACCTGTCACCTAGTTGTGGGGTGTTTCCCTCTTTTAATTTGTGCTTTAAGTAATAGCATGCTAGAAACACTGCCAAAATTATGCATCTCTAGCAACTGCTGTAGCATTGCACCTCCAGAGTTCAAGGATATTCAGAGAAACCAGAATTGTGACAGGCCTACAAAATGCCATTTATGATAATAGCTATATCTACTCTATCAAAAATACAAAAGGACAGGGGGCCAGAAACTAGCCTTCACAGGTTCTGTCTTTAGGCATTTCAAAACAGAACTGTTACAGATTCAGTTTGTCTAAGAATGGTGGGAATGATTTCAAGGCCTAATCACAAGGCAAATGTCTCATTGACTAAATGACTATGAAATGAGAAGAGGTGTGCTTTATTGATTTACCTCTCATTGTTTGAAGTGTAGATCAAATATGCTTACCACCCTTGGCACCTCAATGGAAACAGACCAAATATATGGTATAAGTTTAAAATGTACATTTACATGCAAGAAGAAAATGCTGTAGGAATTGCTGGTTCTGCTTTTACAAGAGGCTGCAGAAAACTGAAGCATTAAAACCAGACAGAAATTCAAGAATAGGCACTTCTCCAAAGTACCTTTTTCTCCATATGGCCATGCAAATTATTTGCTGAGGTTGGCTAGAGCTTGTCCGGAGGCTCAAAAGGAAAAAATGTGCTGAATTTGAATGAAGCCTGTGTCAGCTGCCATCAGTCCTTGAGTCCCATGCTGGGATGGTCCCTGTGAAGAAAGAAAAGGCTTTCATTAGACTACAAAAACTGTTGCGGGAGGCAGGGGGGAAGCCCAGCTGGTAAAAGAAAACAACCCATTAGACCCTTAAAGGCAGAGATTATCTCAATCAGCCAAGTTAGTAACTCCAACAATACTTACTTTTGGATGCTGTCTATCATTCATCCTTCTAAGAGCAGTCGGGGCACAAAACCAACTCCAAATTCATCCCGGGAAAACCAATTCCAATGATAGTTATACCCTGATAACAAAAGATAATTGGATTAGTAGCAATACAATATTTATATGCACAGACCAGGGTTTCAGGAATTGGGATGGTAAGAACTTGGGATTGGGAGTTACAGATATGTTCTCATGGATTCCCCAAGTTTTATGAGTTGTGAAAAGGAAAAACAAGTCTTTGATATTGAAAAATGTGTCTACATTTCAAAGACCTTTCATTTCTTTTCCTTTTTTTTATTAAATGTGTTTTCTTGTTCCCTGTTTTGTTTAAACTTGTGAAGTTCCCTGATGGCTGACTACACAAATATAGCCATCTTCCCCAGGAGTGAGCGGGTGGACAAAGGACAAGGGACAGGCAGAACAGGCTAACTAGACTGGGAGAGCAGGATGCAACCTGGGCAGCGGCTAGATTATAGGGCAGTGCACATGCAGAGGCCTGGTCTGCTTCTGTCAAAGGGTTTTGCACAGTCAGCTGGCAAAATGCACTACGTCCACTTCCCATTGCTTAATGAAGGTGTGGCTCATAGGCATCTTCTGATCTACTTGTTCTACTGGGTTCTTTGTGTACAAATTCCTAAAAGTCTGGGACAAGCTGTTGGACAGCTTGGGAGGAAGTTTATTCATTCTTAATGTAGTCCAGGCAGCCTGAAGATAGTTAACATATTTGAGAGCTAGATCATGACACGGTTCTATGGAGCTCTTTATTATGTGTACAGTATTCTGTCTGCATTTATCTCTGCAGGCCAGTAGAGGGCACAAGATCTCCTTACAGATGGTC